TTTTTTTTTTTTTTCCTATGAACTGCACCAGGAATGCTAGCATCAAAAATATGTGAGAAAAAGTATAAATGGAATAATAAAATGGAGAATAAAGGAGACTCTAGATATGTAAATGACTACATGTATAAATCAAAGAATAAATTATATATGCTTATCTGTCTTGCATCTATTTATTCCTATATCTGAAAAATTATGTGTCTAACATTTAGGCCCATGCTAAATTTCACATATGCGAGATTAAATGAGACTATTTCCACACAGAATATACAAATATAAAGGTTAAAAAAAAAAAAAAAAAGTATATCCTGAACTGAGGCATGACCAAGTATTCTTGTACCATTCCATGCAAAAGTGATCTAATACCTTGGACACATAAGTAAATTACATGGGTGTAACACATCACAGACACAGCTTGCTCTGGATTAATTACTAACGTGCATATCCAGCTATAAATGTGATGCAGGTTTCTTCTCAGAGATGCAGAGTACTCTGAATAGCTTTGAAGCCTCAAGCACTTCACAATAAATAAAATCATGCAACCATGTGCAGCACTCCTACTTGTTTACCTTAAAAGTGTTCTTAAATATGCAAGAATACTCTTTAAAAATCTGTAACAAAGGAGACTGAACAAACAATAGTTATCTTTAATACTATGTTGTACACAGTCACTGTTTTGCTATTGGATGTCTTCCTTAAGAAAATTTCTTCTGCCAAGTTTCCTGAATATGCTTATGAAAATTACACATGTGGTAAATGTCAAATTTTGTTTAAATGACCATATAGCACATCTACTGTTTCCTTTTTACCCACTAAATCAGGTATCTTGTCAGACAAGGAAATTATATTGCTTCAACTTAATTTGATCCTGATTTTTTTTTTTACCATCTTATTATCCTCTAGGTGGTGATAAATTGATTGTTTAATAATTTGTTCCAGTATATTTCTGCGAATCAAAGCTGGGCTGACCTGATAATTTTATGGGTTTTCCTCTTTTTAAAAATAGGTATAACTCCTGCCCATACCTATTGTTTTTCTACCTTATGTGACCTCCATAAGTTTTTGAAAACAATCACTAATAGTCCACAGAGCTAGTCCTTTAAACACTCTAGGGTGAATCTCATCATACCACTTCCATTGAATTCACTTATTCAAATACTGATTAGCCGATTCTTTTATTGCGTACCCTCTGGTTAATATTGATTTTCTTAAATAGCCAGTCAACTAACCTTTTTCGCTAAAGCAAAAGAGACTATTCTGTATTATCTACTATCTTCTTTCCCACTAGGTAACAGCAGTATAAAAACGCAAAGGAAGTTACTTTAATGACAATCTTTTTGTTGCCTTTTGTACTGTTATGTGCCTTAGACTTTCTGACATCCTGTTAGATGTCTCTGTTGTTCTTTTCTACTCCTCACTTCCAGTCATGGGGTTTTGGTTCCACATTTTGTACAATTACTTTTCACTTTTCAGGATGTTAAAGAAATGATGCTGAGATATTATTCCTTTATGCTACTACTTCTGCTTCAGGACAATTTTCTGTTCTACCTTATGCACAGTCAGTGCAAGATTTTCTGCACTCCTTTTGTCCCTAAAATTTCTTTCCAAGATAACCTGCTTATCACTTCTTTGAGCTCATTGAAACCTGTCGTTTCTGAAATCTATTATCCTGTTTCTACTGCCCTCAGTCCTCCCTTTTCACAGTGAATATTTTGTGATAACTAAATTTTTAACCAATACCTCTCTTAGTCAAAATCAACTCTAAAGTAACAATTTCCCTCTTAACATTCTCCATCTTGTGCAGCCAGCAGCTAAGCACCCACACAATCACTATCTCACTCCCCTACCATTGTCCGCTATTGGGATGAAGGAGAGAATAGGAGGAGCAAAAGTGAAAAAACCTCATGAGTTAAGATTAATGCAGTGTAATGCGAAAAGAAAGGAGGGAAAAAAACGAGTGATGCAAAGACAATTACTTTCTACGTCCCACAAGCAGCTCAGGCAGTCTCCAAGGAGCAGCTACTTTGGAAGGAAAAACCTCCCCACATTTTATTTCTGACCATGATGTTATATGACATAGAACATCCCTTTGGACAGTTTGGGTCAGCTGTGTCAGCTGTATTCCTTCCCAATCTATTGTCTGCCCCCAGCCTATTCATTGGGAAAGCAGAATAGGAAGAAGAGAAAGCCTTGATGCTCTGCAAACACTGCTCAGCAACAGCCAAAACATTGGTTTGTTTTAGTAACAAATCCATAACACAGCACCATATGGGATCCTATGAAGAAAGTTAACACCATCTCAGCCAGACCCAGTACAATGTCTTGAAATAAGTAGATATTATCAATGTTGTAAAGAACTATAAATCTTTTATCTCCTCACATATTATTATGCTAACAGACACCAAGATTGTGAAAGTTCTCCACTACCATCAGACGAAGTCTTCTGTTAGTTGCTGAAAGAAGCCTCTCATAATCTTCTAGAGAAAGAGTCTGTACTGTGAAAGGACATAAACTAAAATATTTTTTCTATTTAAAGTTCCTGTAAAACTTTTCACAGGTCTCTCTCTTACCCTGTCTTGTCTGTAGAACAAGTATTTATGAGAAACCATTCAGAAGCTCAGAGGTGGAAGTTCGTATACATGCCAGAAACCATAGAACATCTTCAAAAATCTTTTGAAATACTGACACAGGGACACAGTAGACCATGGATACCAGTAACAACTATAGTTTTATACCTTGCAGTTGAACCTATTGATAATACAGGGGTGCTCTTCTCCAAAAATGATATTACTATTATTTCTATGATACAGAAATAATCTATATGATAGCAACTATATGATAAAACTTCACATTACTACTGTGTAGCACACATGCTCAGATCTAAAATGCTCCTGGCTGTTTCATTCTGAGATCCCACCCTTGAGTTTCCATCTGAAGCTTTCAAATCAGATCAGGCTTGAGAAAGTCCTGCTCAAGTATGTGCGATTTAACTTTTGAGCTGTTAGTGTCAGAGCCAGTCTATCTGCATTTCAGCCATGGTAGAAATCACCCCTAACTCCTTTCATGGATCTGGAGCACAAATTCTGCAGTACTTTTATGAGAAGTGAGGTTTATTGAGCAGAAATATATGTGTTCATGTTTGCCTGTCAGTCCCCCTAACAACTTGTAATGCTTCACTAAGCTTAATTGATTTGAAAAAAAAAAAAAAGGTGGGGGTTTCTTCGTTTGTACAAGCTGTATGAAAAAAGACAGCTGGGAATAGGAGAAAGACACTGTCAATGTCCTCCTGAACAGGACAGAAGTCCATTCTTGTTAGAAGCTGGTTTTCACCCTTAACGCAAAATTCAGTGAGAAACCAGTTGTTTTGCTGTGAAATTATTAGCTATTTCACTGATCCTTGCACATAAAAAAGTCACAAGAACAAGGCCATAGCCAAATAATAAACATAAGGATTAAAAATTGGAATAGAACGCTACCAAAAAAAAAATAAAATCTAGTACTAGAAGTGGGGACATTAATATACACTTCATAGATCACCACACTATTCTCTTTGTCACTAGGTTTAATAAATTACAGATTTACAATTTTACTGTGTACTTCATTATAATTTTGTTAAACATTACATTTTCACATGGGCCTAAAGTCTGCTTCTCTTCTCCTGCTCTTCCATTTTCACTGCAGAAGAAGTAAAAGGATGTGTGGAGGGAAAATTAAATTACCGCTACATAAAAAAATAAATAAACAGACATCTTTTTAATGCAACTCATTGTGTTGGTTTAAGCCCTTTCAGGACCGGAGACCATGTTGCTGTTGCCCCTCCACCACCCTCAGCTGGTCAGGCTGGCAGTGAGGCACAAACCCCGGGTTAAAATAGGAAGAAATTTAATACAGCAGTGTGATAAACAATCTGAACAACAATAGTAGCAATGGTAACAACAGTAAGCAATAAAAACAGTAAACAAGACAAAAGATATACAGAGAGATACCGTAATGGATACAGACAGCCCGGTGTTTCCCGCGACCAAAACCCACCCTCGCCCAGACCTGACGCCAGCATGGTATGAATAACCCAGCTGGAGATCCCTTCCCCCTCTCTCTCTGCTGGGTAAACTTAACCCTATCCTAGCTGAACCAGGACATTCATATTTAACCCAAAGCTTGAATTCCAGATTGAGCACTTGGGTGGGGTGTTACAGCACTTAACATTCACCAGGCACAACCCCATTGGCTTTAGCACCCCTGGAGCAAAGGCTGTCTAAGGCGACTGCATTCTGCTACTTCAACCTAAAGGTGTGTCTCTGTCAAACATATTTTCTAATAACTTTTTAGTACAGCAAGACTCTATGTGTAATACTCTTACAGTTTATAGCTGCAACCCCTTCCCTTGAATTGTTCTTGCATTGACAAATAACATCCATGGTGTGAATACTGAGAAGGCAGAGACCAGCTTTTTGACCTCAGTAAAATATAAAATATTTAACTATGAAATAAAGTTCTAGTCCAACTGATGTAGTTTTATCTATTCTTCTGAATGCCTGCATTTAAATATCCTAAGTACTTCATTTTTTATAGCAAACATAAATTCTGATGTTTGTTTCCAACCAAAAGAGGGGCTTTATGTGCATATTATGGTCATTGCATCTAAGTATCAGTCAGGAATTTTGTTTGCTGGGCTTACTCCTAACTAGCCTGTTAGTTTTTTAGGACAGACATTCTATGGACAGTCTTTTTCTATGGAAATTAGAACAGTTTGTTCTGGAATGAGTCAACAGACACAGGTAGTGTCAGACACTACAATACCAGCTTTTTTACTCACATTCAAAAACTTCAGGTGTGTACAGGAGCTTGATTATATTTTGTACAAGCATCAAAGAGTGAATGGAAAAAATTTCCTTTGTCTCATTCATGGGATACACAGTGACATTGGTAAATACATTTCAGGTTACTATATTTTTTTCTAATAAAAATGGAATTGTAGTAAGTTAAAATGAAATCTCATTTACCTGTAAAGTGCTGAAAGTGGTCGCTTGTTGCCAGGTTTTGGTCTGTATGGTTTTGGTTCTCCTGCCATGTTGATATCTAAAAGCAAACATTTGATATTAATAAGCCAAATGTCTGAAAGTTAATTTGCAAAGTCACCTTCAAGACACTGAAAATGAGTAATAGTGAAAATCGACGGCATACATAAAACACCTATCTTGTTTTTAGCACTTCTGAATTGATGCTATAAAACTTCCCTAAAAATTCTTACTGTAATGAATGCATGAAGATTTTAGGCAAAATGTCAGTTATTAGTGACAGAAAGAAATGACATTTTTTAAACATACATGAGTTTTTACTCATAAAGGTGAAACCAGTAATGCATTTCTATTACAGGAGGAGATTTAAATGGTAACTTAGATGTTGAGACAAACTATGATCTCAAGTCAAATTCTGTTGTGGAGGACTAGAATGGTTCTGAAGATTTCCCCTTTAGGATCTAGAGAAATGCACACTGATAGTTAACTGCCACTTCACTATCCACTCAAAATGAGACTTTTCAAAACCAAATAAGAGACTATCTTTTTTCCTACCCCAAATACATCTAAATACGTGTTTTTTTTTTGTGTGTGTTTTTTTTTTGTTGTTGTTGTTGTTTTTTTTTTCTTTTCTTTTTTTCTTTTCGGTTCTGTTTAGAGAAATGTACTGGCTTTAAAAATTGTATGGAGAAAGAGAAAAATCTGGGTTTTTACATGCTTTATCTTATGCAGGTACTTATAATTCTTAACACCAGAAATATTGTTCATGCTTTTAAAAAGTTCACTTACATTATGTCTGTGTATTTATCCTTGAAATTAAAAAATATGTCAAGCTTATATAGACAGTAGTCATACTGGTTCTCAAATTACTATCTTCTCTTGAAACATGATCAAAGGCATACCAGGAAATACACGTCCATCATTTTGATTGCTTGTAACAGTTACCCATGAAGAAAGAAACACAGACCCTTCTATGTAGAATACCTTGCTTGAGCTTAGGAAGCTGTCTATATAAACACAAACCTGTATTAAAAAGCTCCCTTCCTCTGATTGAATGTTGCAAAGTTGACATTACGTCAAATCACATGGATAAAGTAAAACTTCTGATTGGGAAACAAATTCCATGCCATCTGAGTGATGCTGCAGCTAAACTTCTCCTCAGTTTCACTAATATACAAAAGAGTCACATTTGACAAAATCATCAGTTTTATTTTAGCATAAAATTACTGTGACAGAACAACATATCCTAAATACCATGGAATTACCTGGTAATCAAGACTTTCAAGAAAGCACATGTTTGTGGTAAAGTCTATGTTTAACCTGAAATTGAGTGTAATGGAGGGAAAAGAGAAGTAGAAAGCTGAGGTTGTAGAATGAAGAAGCATCATTGCCCAGCGCATTGATGCTAAAATCTCAAGCATTTTTATTTAAGCTATTCTTGACCTCAAAAGCTGCAGTAAAAGCCTGAGACTTACTGACTGGATATTTTTATTTCACACAAAGTGGAAAAAATAATCCATCTGACTTTTTTTTAACAATCAGAAACATTGAAAATGTATGTACTTCAAAGTTTTTGATAGAAAATATTTTTCCATTGGAAATCGAATGTTTCAAACATTTAAAAGTATTTTAAACATATTTTATATTTAAATTTGGTATTTTGAGCTAGAAAAAACATTTATTTAAAAATATACAAGGTCCTGAAATGTTTTTGTGTAGAACTGTTTGATAAAAACTATGGGTTTTGGTAAAATTTTCTCCATATAAATAATTTTGGAATTAAATCTGATTGTAGTTCCTTTGGTAGAAGCCAGATTACTCTTAAATCATAGTTTTCAAAAAAATATTATATTTATTGTTTTACTTATCTCTCTGAAGTTGGTTGAATATTGGAGACAGTTTTCACACCTCCTTGAAAGGCTTTTCTGCCCTTAATTTTTAGCAAGTGCTTTATTAAATATATATTAATCTTCCTCTGTCATGGTTGTTTAAAATTCAGCTATGATTCCCTTATTTAAAGAAATATAAATTCTACTAATGTTGACCCAACAAAGTAAACGTCAAGCATTTCTGAAAGCCACTGAGGACTTTTGATAGCTGTGCTGCATTTCCATTGGCTCCTGGAAGTAACAGAATTGGAATGAAATTTTTATCCTGTGACCTTTACGATAATTAGACCTTTTCACACTATTTTAATATGTCAGCTTTAAGGTCATTGACTGTATTGACTTTCATCATCTCCTACTACAACTGGGTCAGATTTTAGGAAAAGAAGTAGAATTATAATCTGTTCTTGGGAAATACCTGAGGCTATGTGATTCATCTTCACATATTTTTCATGTCTCTCATCTTCTCTTTCAGAGCTACAGCCCAGGTCACTATTCTTAGGCATATGAACACTAAAGGACTTCTAAAACTTTTTCATATCCTTTCAGGGTAGATCAATACTATCTTGATGATTATTCTTGTAGACCTACATTTGCAGCTCTACAACACCCGCTTTTAACAAAGACAAGTAGTGTAGAAGACTAAGGGCTGTTTATTATGTGTTCCCCTCATTTTAATCAAATACTGCCAGAAAGAAAACACAGCTGTAAAGATGTTCAGAATCAGTTAAGATTCACTTGCACTCAAATAAATCTCTAAATGTACTAGCCAAAAACAGTGAACTATGTTATACAGACAGTAATAGCCAGAATTTCTCTTTAACACAGGAAATAGTTGATAGAAAAGCTGTACACATGGGGCTTTTCTGTTAATATGAAAGTGATTGAATAGCTCTGCAACTCCCCAAGCACCTTGTAGTAAGTTAAGAATGGGTGTAGGAAATTGTTTGAAAAGTTAGAACAGATTTTCACCCCATTATTTTTCAGCACTATCTCTCCAACCTCAATTTTCTAACTAAGGTTAGAAGTGAACTTGTCAACATTTCACAGGATAGATTATTTCTAGCCCAACTGGAAATCTTGTGAGATAACTTGTTCTCTGGCTTCATCCATCATTAGTTTCACAGCAGACATTTACATCTACTAGGTCATAAACTGTGTCAATTAAATTTGTTGGCTGCAGCACAGAGATTTACCTGAGCTAACGATTCCACCCCAAGGAATGCAGAGAGGCATCACTCCTTATGCTGTAAAATTAGCTACTGCACTTGTACATGAATATGAACCAGACAACTTGGAGAAGGACACAGACATTCACTGTGCTTCTACGTGGGAATGGAGCACCTCAGGGACTCTCACATTATTTTCTCTGCTCATATATAATAAATGTTTACTTAGACATCAACTTTAAGATAAATTCAACACTGAAATTCAAAATATCAAGGAATCACTGTGAATACAAAGGTCACTGTGCAGACAACAGCACACTGTAATGCAGCAGCCTGCTCTCTGTGCTTTCAGAATCAAAAGAGATTACTTTGTTTATTAGAAGAAATGCATCTTCAGTTCTATCCCTGTTAGCACAGCAGAGGTTAGTTAAGGTATGAGATCTAGGTTTCATTCAAGTTTGTGTGTCAACAGCAGAATATAATTTCAAACATGGTATTTTATTTCTAATTATACTGAAAATTATCTAGTAATGAGAAAAAAAATATTGACTTGAAGAAAGAATATGCAAACCATTTAGAGAGAACAGTAATTGTATTCAGTAACTACATATATTTGTATAAAAGAGCAGCTCAACACAGCATGATCTACCTTTCTCCTATCACCATTTCCTACTGCTGCCCACCTACTTCCTCTAGGCAGTAGAGTAAGGACCAAGGAGACCCTAGTTCATGAGCCTCTCATTTTTGGAAAAGCAATATCAGCTAGTCTTGGCTTTGTTCATTGCCTCGCTGACAAAGCAATCTGAGAATCTGGTCCTGAAGACAACAGTTGCCTTTAAACAAGATTTGTAAGTGTAAGCAACAATACCTAAAGTGTACTCATACTCTAGAATTATTTCACTACTTTTAAGTATACCTGCCCTTCAGATTCTTTAAAAAGTTTTATTGAAAAATAACCCAACCAAAACCAATCAACCATTTTGGTTCACAAAAACAAATGCCTGAAACTGGAAGCTTCAACAGACACTAAAACAATCCATGAAAACAGGGACTTTGAGGCTTTCTGCTGCAAATCCAGGATCTGTTTGTCAGGCTACATCTATACTATAAAATTAAATAGTGCCCTTCCTAGGCTCTAGTACTCAGCTATCTCTTGTACTAGAGTGGTTTCTGGCATGACTCTCATCCCCAGTTACTAAGTACACTCCCATGAAATTTCTAGGTATAGGTGGAGAATTGACATGAACTAGGGTCATTGATTGGCATTTTAATTGTGGCCACTCTGCTTTTCAGCATAAGACCCAGTGAAAGAGAATGATTCCAAGTACCTAAATTTATTATTCATGTGGCTTCTGAGCATGGGCTCCATGCCAGAAAGACTGAGAACCAAGCAAGACCTGGAGCTAGAAAAACTCTAGGGACCTCTGTAGCTCAACAGCTAATTTTCTAAGAAATGTTTCGTTAGATGCTCTTCCACCCATTCTTGTGAATGGTTGCAGAAAATGATACATTCCTTGTAAAATGCCACATTTGCTTGACTTAAAATTTTGGATGAGAAAGGATGTCATTGTGTACTTCCAGACCAGCTGTGCTTTAGACCAACATTTAATGGAAGAAATTATAAATAAAACTAATGTACAGAGAAAGAATTTACACAATGAATGCACAGTCTATACCCAGGACAAAGTTATGGATATAGGGAGATCAGGATGCATTCTCTACTTTTTCAGATGACCTAAAATATATGTGGGACAGAAGAGAAAGACCAAGAGGTAGATGCAATTTAGAGACAGCCTCTAGTCATATGATTTATAGTATAAGGGAACACCAGCAGAGCTAAACCTAATCTGTCTGTCTTTTATACTTTTCCTTCTACCAGTCTTATAAATCTCCCTGCTGTGTACTAAAGGAATTTTAATGAAGTTATATGACATTTCTTACACCATAGACTTGCTTTTTTCTTTATATTTTACATTAATTACATGTCATTTCCTCCCTTTTCCCTG